GCTGTACGTCCGATCGCCTTGGCGTACAGCAGTAACGTAGCAGTGTTTCAGTGACTTCATCCAGATGCACTTCTAACATAGCCGTTGTTTCAGTGATTCATCCAGATGCACTTCTAACATAGCCGTTGTTTCAGTGATTCATCCAGATGCACTTCTAACGTAGCCGATCTTTCAGTGATTCATCCAGATGCACTTTTAACATAGCCGTTGTTTCAGTGATTCATCCAAATACGTGTATAACATAGCCATTGTTTCAGTGATTCATCCAGATGCACTTCTAACATAGCTGATCTTTCAGTGATTCATCCAGATGCACTTCTAACATAGCCGTTCTTTCAGTGATTCATCCAAATGCATGTCTAATATAGTCGTTGTTTCTTTATTTTAATTTTAGGTGATGACGCCTTTAGGAAATATAACAACTGACCCACGTTTGATACATGTGCTTGGAGAACGTATGGTGTTCTCGTGCCACAGTGACATGCACAATACACACAAACCAATGGATAATTATAAAGGTACTATATTCATATTCTTTCTTGTTAATTAATTACTATGCTTTTCAAAATCCCTGCATGTTTTGCTATAAAATAACTTGTATGAAATCAAGTTATTGTTGGAAGACGTGATGTTGTGAAACAGGTATATATTGTGAGAAAAATTACTTAACAAAGGTTAAAATGTGTAAAAGATGCTGTTGCATTGTTGTAAGAGAAACATTTGTAAGGCAGTATAATTTATACAGATACTCTAAGTTTTGTAACGAAATAGGTAGAAAAATAGGATTCCTGTTAGAATGTGAGTCAAGAAGACATGTTTGGTGAGTTGGTTCCCCAAAAAAGGGCTTTCCGGTACTTTTTCTACATAATCCTGAAAATAGTTTGGAGTCTTTGCGATAATTAAAATCTGAATTGTCCAACAACGTGGCCAAATTCGCACTAGTTTCGAGGTTATGAAGGGTAAGATCCATACTTGAATCAGAAACCTTACATAAAACAAGGTAGTGACCTTACATATTGGACAATACAAAATCTGATTCCTCAGCTCCATAAGGCCGTTTTCACCACGGCTTTTGCGAATTATGTTGAGGAATGCTCAAAGAAGCTTACTCCCCGCCGTACGGTGGCTAAGTGCGATACCTACCTGAACATAGACACGTCTACGATCTTGCACTGACCCCTAAACTCCGCATTTCCGTTGTCAAACACTGTTGATAGATGAGTTCTTTTAGTAGCAAAGTGTTTTTAGTTTTCTTGAAATTAGTAGATCCAGCTCTTTATCGGAGTACATATTTTTTGAATTCCAACTTAAACACCGGAAACTGTGATACCTCTATGTAGTCCACTCATTCCCCCAAATTCAGTTTCATTGGCTTGCATAATGAGTGTTAAAAATAAATTTTAACTTTAAAATGTTAAAGAAATCGTAGATATTATTGTTAATATAATGTTCACTTAGAGTCTGTACATAAAATATTGTTCATTTTGTAAACTCATTAATTTACTTTTTTCCAGAAATCCCGTCCAGATCACGCAGGGACATAAATAACATGTATTCTTGTGACTGTTCTTGCTGAGAGTAAAGTTTTATCCAATCAAGTCACTTCTCAGCTTCCGGATCAGTTTTATATAGCTTCTAATTGGCTACACGTTACTTAAAAGTTAAAAGTATAAGATTTTTTTTGAAATATCATTATATAAAATAAACATTTGTATATAGTTTTGATAGAAGTCACAAATTTTGACTGTAGAAGTTATTTAGAATGAATATCCTATAATCTCTGTCTTTTTAAATAAAATCGAATAAAATCTATTTAACACTTCGCTAGACTGTTAATTCTGTTGTTGTCGTTAGATGTAGTTTTATAGGCAATAAAATAAAATAAAATAAATTGACCAAAAAGATAAAAGCGATTATACAATACTTATACCTAGAATATTCAGAAATCGATCATCGAAAATATTTGATCATAATTAATTAGACTGACTGGGATTACTAGCCATATTCTGGATTACATCTACAATTGAACTGTTGAACTACTGAGGTTTTGCAGACGTTTTGCTTCGATTGTCTTCGTGATTTTGTTATTTTAGTTTATTCGTGTATGACATCATTTTCTTCATTGTATGAAACAAAATTCACGAAGACAATGAAGTTGCACATGATTTGATTTGGTAGTAGCCATATTGGTAACACAACAGAGATCGCTTACAATAAAGACTCAGAAGCATAAATGTATTTAAAGACTATACAATATTGTTTCACCAGTTAACTTGCATACCAGGAAATTGAACAAATAAATAATGAGAAAGAGTGACTAGACCAAAAGATATATGTAACCAAATAAAAAATACAAAGTCCTTCCAGTCTTTCTGGAAAGTTAATGTTCAACAAATAAAGTATGCATATATATATCTGTAAATTCTAGTGGTCCTTATTGATGTAAAGTTCCATACAGCTTCCAACGTCATCGATAACTTCAATAGGCAGTTCAGTAGTTAAAACACTCGATTAAGGAGTGGATTACATAATAACTTACCATTAGAGCCTAACGGGTGGAGTATCTAAGAGCTCGTTATTAGAGCCTAACGAGTGGATTACCTAATAACTTACCATTAGAGCCTAACGGGTGGAGTATCTAAGAGCTCGTTATTAGAGCCTAACGAGTGGATTACCTAATAACTTACCATTAGAGCTTAACGGGTGGAATATCTATTAACTTGTCATTACAGCCTAACTAGTGGATTACCTACTAACTTGCCATTCGAGTCTAACGAGTGGATAGCATAATAACGTACCATTAAAGACTAACGTGTGGATTATCTAATAGCTCGTAATTAGAGCCTAACGAGTGGATTGCCTAATAACTTACCATTAAAACCTAACGAGTGGATTACCTAATAACTTGTCACCAGAGCCTAACAAGTGGATTACCTAATAACTTACCATTAAAGCATAACGAGTGGATTACTTAATAACTTGTCACCAGAGCCTAACAAGTGGATTACTTAAGAACTTTTCATTAAAGTCTAACGAGTGGATTACCTAATAGCTTGTCATCAGAATCTAATGAGTGGATTACCGAATAGTAAGAAGTGAGAACAAATGAATCATTAGCTACATAAATCTAAAAAAAGTGATTTTTTACTAATTTATTATCTTGTCAGAAAAAAAAAATACTAATGAAAATACTGCTATTATACACGAATTAACTACTCTACAGTGCCTGAAATGATTCATTTTAACGAAAACTTTTACTGAATTTTATTTAAGTTTTTAATAGCACAGTAGTAGTAAATGAGAAGAAGGAAAAAACACTGAAAGGTATACTAATTTATTTTCCTAAAACATATGGTAGTTCACAGTTATGGTAAACGAAAGATCAATAAAAGAAAATATCTGACCTATAATTGACAAATAAACAGGTATAAAATTCAAAAAACTATTTTAAGACAACATAGGCGCTGTTGTGGATTACACAGCATGTAAAGAGACGTGTAATATCTGGGAGTCTGCACATAATTAGCTACAATAGCTGGGGAACCTTAGCACATTCAGCTACAATAGCTGAGAAATCTGCACATAATTAGCTACATTAACTAGGGAGTTTGTCCATACTTAGCTACAAGAGCTGGAGAAGCTGTGCAAAATTAGCTACTGTATAGCCTCCATCAGAGGTTCTAATCTATTTTTCTAGTTTTTCTCAAAAGATTATTATTATGAGTTCATTTTTAGTATTACAAATGTACTCATGACACAATATTTTTACTGTATGATGTTTTCCCAATTTTGTTTTCATTGTCTGATGAATTCTTGTATTTTATGGCATATAAAGAGTTCCTTGAAAATGAAATTTACGAAAAACTGACTATGGTTCGTTCTATCGTTTGCATTCCGCTCTAGACATTTTTTCTCTGATAAACAGTATTGGAAATAAAAGTATAGATGGCGAGGAAAAGATTATGAAAGCAAATACTATTGGAATGACCTACACCAGACTACAGCCATGTGCTGATAGCTTAGAATGAGATTGTCTTTATTCAAACAATCAAAAAGTACCACAGTACTTTAAAGCCTAAAAAAGCACACAATAGTATGATTCCATATCTTTCACGACTGAAGTACTACATGACAAGCGTGTATAAATCAAAGTTCTGGCTGTTAAATGATATTTCACATGAAAAATTGCAGTAAGACTCCCTGTTTGAATAAGAGCTGTATACAGGATTCTGTAGAAGGTAAATTAAACAGTTACTGTTAATAAGTGCAGGGACTCTGTAGAAAGTACCTCAAACAGCCACAGTCAATAAATCCATGACTCTGTATAAGATACTTTAAACAGTTACTGTTAATAAATGCAGAACTCTGTAGAAGGTACCTTAAATAGCCACTGTTAATAAATGCAGGACTCTGTAGAAGCTACTTTAAACAGCCACTGTTAATAAATTCATGGTTCTGTAGAAGGTACCTTAAACAGCCACTGATAATAAATGCATGGTTCTGTAGAAGGTACCTTAAACAGTCATTGTTAATAAATGCATGGTTCTGTAGAAGGTACCTTAAACAGTCACTGTTAATAAATGCATGGCTCTGTAGAAGGTACCTTAAACAACCACTGTAAATAAATGCATGGTTCTATATAAGGTATCTTAAACAGCCACTGTTAATAAATGCATGACTCTGTAGAAGGTACCTTAAATAGTCACTGCAAATAAATGCATGACACTGTATAAGGTACCTTAAACAGCCACTGTTAATAAATGCATGGCTCTGTAGATGGTAGCTTAAACAGCCACTGTTAATAAATGCATGACTCTGCAGAAGGTACCTTAAACAGTTACTGTCAATAAATGCATGGTTCTGTAGAAGGTACCTTAAACAGTTACTGTCAATAAATGCATTGTTCTGTAGAAGGTACCTTAAACAGCCACTGTTAATAAGAATAGAAGTTGTCAAAGTAGAAAATCGAAACTTATCGAACATAAGGTTACGCATCTCGGGGCATATTTTTTTTATAAGGTAAGACGATAGTTGAGTACAGATCTTGCCAACGATCCTGCTATTAATACAGGTGTGAATGTTATTACGGTGCCAACCAAATTCATTAGTCATATGACCCAATATTACTTCTTAATTTACAAGTAAACTTGAGGAAGATCATGCCATCTGCATACTTTTTGACTTGCCAACCCTTCATCCTCATTCGGTTGAGCCAAAATAACAGTTTTATCTACTTGATGACATAACTAATGTGACTTATATATATACGTTCAGTTAGTACAGAGTTTTTACTTTTATTATTCTTAACATTTCTCTTATGTTCATTTATTCTAAGTTTCTTGTAGTTTGACTAAGGTACACAAAACCACATTTAAATTCAATTTTGTAAATACCCATTTTCTCCATTACGTTAATTACATCTTTAGTTTTATTTAACATTTGACTAATTTTATTCAAAGGTTTTATAAATCGGAATAATATTTTATCATTTTAATATCATTATTAAGAATATTTCTTATCCAGTAATTTCAAAACTTCAAATTGGCTCATTTTGATAAAAGAAGGATGAATTTCCAATTATTTAGTCCCAGTAGCTCACCATCAAATTAGTGAATACAAGAATTTGATTATGCACTTCCAAATTTCCAAACTTATGGATTCAGGAGGATTTCAAAGGATGAAAATAAGTTTGTTTGTTGCTAAGCGCAAAGCTATATAATGGGCTATCTGTGCTGTGCCCACCATGAGTATCGAAACCCGGTTTTTTAGAGTTATAAGCCTCCAGACTTACCGCTGAGTCACTGGGTGACAGAATAAAAATGATAACAATACAACAATAGTAGAAGTTGTAATGGTTTTTAAACGAGATCCCAAACTCGAGAAGAATAGTGAACTATTCGAAAGTGCTCGAGTCTTGGGTCTCGTTTGAAAATCGTTATAAATTTTGTATGTGATGCTGTGTACTAACTTCCACAATAGTAAAAGTGTCATTAGCTTAGGGTAAAATATATATATTTAAAGAGACAAGTGGAAACTCCAACTTTTAACTTTAAATCATTAAATCAGGGAACTGGAATTCCAAACATGCATGTACATGGGCCTGATGGCCAGGTCAGAGATCCCTAGGGTTCAGGAATAACCATATCTATTTTTGAGCTGCTAATCAGAGGGAGAGCAGCCAGCCAACAACACATGCCATCATAATGATTTTATATTATTCTAGGAGCCAAATGACGTGATTAGCTGTCACTTTTATAACGCATCTACATCAGAGAGTATGAAGCGTGTTTATTAGACATCACACTTTGAGCTTTGAACTTTCTGACGTGGAACCCAACACTCTAATGATTAGGTCATTCTAGCCTTATTAAATTCAAAGTTAAGATAGATCTTTAGTTTAAAACCTGTTTTAACATACGTTTTGTTGCTTACTGTCAGACATCTACGCTGTTAAGTATAGATTAGCGATTTTTATAATGCTCTCAATGAATATTCATATGTTCTCTTGTCTAATTAAATTTATATTCTAGTTATATAGTACGCAGGCATATTAAATGTTTTCTGTCTTATTTATTAATTAAAATAACCCTTTAAAGTTCACCTAAAAGGTTAAAAAGATTTCGTGCATACACGTGTATGTAGGTTTAAAGTAGGAAGTTAGCTGAGGAATGTGTTTAATATACTTTTGGTCCACTTACCAATTATTCTGGATCATTTCTTTATGGTATTATGGGCACTATTATGCACTAGTATTGTTTGTTTGTTTGTAATTATGCACAAAGCTACATAAGGGCTATCTGTGCTCTGCCCACCACGGGTATCG